AAGTAGCTTTAAGAAGGGTTGAATGATATGCCCTGGAAATGAAAATAAATTGTGATAGCTATAAAGAGTAAAAGGAAGTTGTGAAAGCAAGACCTCCCCTATTCCAACATGTGGGTAAACTCATTATATATTTGTACAGATAAATAATTCACTCTCACACACACTTAACAATATGTTCAATTCCAATACTTCAATCTACCTTGAAGCAAGGGGAGAAGGTAGCTGGAGTATAGCCATAGTATCCCAGTAAAAAAAAGGCATTGAACATTTTTTATGCAACAGCTCCAGAGCAGGGGATGGCAGCAGGAGCAGTAGGTTCCTTCTCACCCTCCTAATACTGTCTGACTCTGTGGCACCTCTTCATCGCACCCTTCCTGCCTACCTGCTGTTTTAATTAAACTCCATTCCACAGGGAGCAGTTATGGAAGGCAACATACATCTCACTAGAAACCTGGAAATGAATTCAACCCCAAACTGTAGACTGCTGTTGATGCCACTACATTAACATGTCAAGTATTTTATGTGCACTCTTAAGCCTCAAGGATAAATGGACAATATGTGAAGCTTTGAAGTTGTGCAGCTTTATACTTTCATATGGTAATTATGACTTTGAAAAAAAAAAAAAAAAAAAAAAAAGGAAATTATACATTAAGATGGAAGGATAGCTGCACTCACTAACAATTTACATACCTCTGTTTTCCCCAGGGTAGACAAGGGCGTGTGAGAAATGAGTGAAAACCAACCAAGAAATAAACAATGTAAATGAACTGCACTGTCAGGAAAAAATAAGTGTTAAGGTCACACTTGCGAAGGTGATAGGATGCCAAACAGCAGGCAGTGTCAAACACATACACACCACGGACTAGAAAAGGAGGCAAGTGAGGAAGCGGGTGAGAAATTGCACCCTCCCCGCTTCTAAACACTCTGAGATCTACAGTATCTCTTTCCAGTAATGGGATTCTCTGGATGAGGACGCAGCACTTAAGACAAAAGACTGCAGCAAACTGTTTAGTGCAAGTCAGGGCAGTAAACTTTTGACTCTAGTGTTCTCAAGCAGGATCCTATTACACTGTACCAGAGAGTTTTTGACAATACCATCACCTCAGAAAATATTTGGCTTTTCAATTTTTTTTTATCTGGACTAACACAATGGATAAAGAGGGGACAAACAGGAAAATACATCAGACTTAACGAAGTACACTCTGGACTAGAGCATAAACCTATAAACCTGGAACGTAAATCAAGTTATACTTAAAAAAAAGACATTAATCATGCCAAAACAACCTGCATGGTCTATAAGATAAATCTTTATTTGCTCCACAAAGGGGAATTGCAAAGTTCAAGAACAGTAGGAGAATAAGAACACACAATCAAAATCAAGATCAAGATAAATTATAATATGAAGGTTTCAAAAGGAAACAATCAACACGACACTGTGCCAGAGGAATAAAACTATAAGGCTACAAAACTTTAGTACAATAAGTGGGTATGGTTGTGGACCGTCTGCAGCATCCTGTGCTCTGAGGCTAAATAATGGATAGGTTTATAATTGCTCTTAAACTGTTTAAACTAAACTGTTTAGTTTAAGAGCAAGAAAACAGACTCAACACCATAGCAGCGTACTGACCCAACTATGAGTAGCTTTGACAGGTTGGATGCTGCGTGGGAAATGGCTAGAGATGTTTCATGGTCGCAATACTACCATGGCACAGAATTAGAACATAGCAAACAATGTAATGGGCCTTTTGGTGGTCTACATTCAATATTGCTGACAGACAGCAAAAACCGATAGACTTCACGCGCATGAAAAGGATGCTCAAGTTACCGCTTACTGGCCACTAGTTAAGACGGGCTAAATCGAGTTAGCCACAAGCGAACACTTTGCCTACGGTCCAAACTATTTTTGTATTTGATCATATACTGAAAAGCTCTTTCCATCTTTTCTAATTGTAGGGACAAGAAGTGTGAATGAGCTGGGCTAAAGTTAGACACAGCACCGCTAAAACGTGTATAATTAGCTTCGGAAGAAAACACCAACCCATTAACGCACCACTTTACGCATCAGTCACACAGCAAGCGCCCCTCACCCAAAACACCTAGGAGCAGACGATTATTATAACCAGTGTAGGTTTGATGGTGCAACAACAAACTGCAGCTCGGATGATACAAACTAAGCCATTTAAAACAGCAATGCGAATAAACGTACTTTATCACCACCGCAGTTGAGTCTGTCACAGCCAAAGCTCTGTACTGACTTGGTGAACTGGTAAACTGCGATGCTTTATAGACATGCTCACACATAAAGAGCGTTCCAGATCTTCTAAAGACAGTTCAGTCAACTCACTACGTATGAAAAAGCACAAACCAAGAGAAACCTGCGTATTTTCCTCGCTGCAGTGTGACAGACACAAGCGCTAACTGCAGCCAATCTCAATCAGACCCTCAGCGCGAGGGAAGTGTGGCTCTAGCCCAAAACAAGAGAATCATAGCGCGTTTTTACAAACCTGCCGAGGCGGTGACACTTCTAGATCCACTGTACAAGCTGTGTGCAGAGTTTGTGTGTGTTGAGAGCGCGTGTCTGTCAGCCAGTGGTGTTTTCTCTCCCTGAGATGCCGCTGATGGTCGTTCCACTTCCTCCTTTCTTCTGCCGTCTGCTGGCTGCTTCGATGATGCCACAAAGAGGACACATGCAGGAGCGAGTGTGGGGTAGGGCCAGGCTACACCCGCCCTGACACTGCCCAAGACATGCAGAGCAACGTGGAGTCTACACAACAAAGTCAGTGTACTGGAGGGGAAAAAAGGTAAACCGGAAAACAAACAAAATAAACAAACAAAAACAAACTAACTAACAAAAAATCTTAAATGTCCATAAAGTTTTTTTTTAATTTGTTTAGGTTTTTTTTTATTTAAAAATTCCACATTATTCATTATTTAGGCCTATTGCATAGATAGACACATACCCAAAAATATACTGGGCATTTTCAATTAGAACTGTTGGCAGACAAAAGCTTTACTCCAACAACAGGAATAGCAGATAGAAATAATAGTATAAATAATTCATAGTTATTGAATAGCACAGCTTGGTATCACACATATGGCTGAGGGTATTTTCCTGACCTTCCGACTGGACTTGATGGCAACAAAAAATATGAATTATTGATTTGCCATTACATGAGTATAAGCCTATCGTATGGCAGTTTTCATGATGACCAGCTAAAGTGCTGGTCCAATACTGATTTAGTGCCCAGTTTATTTTGTTTTCATCTTGGTGTAACAGTACATTCAGAGTTCTGTTTCAGTTGAACTGGAAGTAATTTTATTGCTGTATTCTGTATGACTATGACAAATCTTTCTAATATTCTAATATACAGAGTGAAAATCAGTCTGTATAGTGTACCAACACTGTGCAGCAGTGAAAGAACATGTTGATATGATACAGACAGTCCCGTGGCTCATCCTTGTCTCCACACAGCAGGAGCAGCAGGAGGAGGATTAATACAGGAACCCCATCCGTCCATCCTTCTGAAATAATCTGGTCTCACACACAAGCTCAAATCCATCTCTCACTCTCTCTGTGTGTATCACCAAGAGCTGCCTATTTACACAACAGCCTGCCCACTCAGCCAAATTTCTTTATATGGCTCCACAGATGGATTGCAAAAAAGACAGAAAATAATTTACTCAGTTGTGAAGGACATTTAGGTTTCAGTCCGTCATTTAAGAATATTCATTTGGTTCTAGGTTCCAGATAAGAGGAAATGCATAAAATAAAGAAATCAAAGGCATGCACTGTTCAGTTTTTTCATATAATGAGGGTAAAATTTACATCTGTGAATTCATTAAAAGCTCATAAAGGATGCAATCCATTTTTTTGAAACAACAAAGGAGCAAGTTCAAAGTTCAAAAGCAATACCGTAGAACTAAATGTATCAAGATCGCTCATGTAGTTTTATTGTAAACAAACATCTATTTAATTTTGTCTTATTTAAGGTGTCTGTACGTTCTGTTACTATTGAACATCTGGAGGTTAATTTCATATCTTCAGAAACAGACATTTCAGTATAAAGTGTATAGTTGTGTTTCAGGGTTAAATCCTGGGGTACAGTTTCTGCCCATTAATCCCACCATAAAAAAACACATATTGATGACATTGAACTGAAGACACAAACTGCTCATATATATCGAATCAATGAGTGCCCTTCTGTATCCTTCTGCAACTGCCTAAGGCCCCAAGTGTCTGGATGAATGCATCAGCTGTATTTGATAAATGAATAAAGGCTGTTCCCCAAAAGCAAATATACATTTTACATATACACCTAACTTTCACCTGCAAATGTTTTCTCTTTTTCCCCTCTCCATACTTCCACCTGGTGGTGCCTATAAGAAGAAAAGAGTAATTCAATTAGATTCTCCACTGACTAGTTTCTGTGTTTATGGCACCAACTCCCCCGTGCTCCTTCTGTGGCTGGTCTTCATCTGGGAGATTCATTACCACTTCAACAAAGAAGACCAAAAAGTCAATATCAAACATAATTCTTTGGTCTTCTTTATAATATAAGAAATAAAGATTTGTAAATGTTTGCTTTAACAGTCTAAATAAATTCTCCACTTAAAAGTGCTAAATGCAGTATAATTTATCAATCTTGATGGATCTGCGATTTCTCACTCCCCAAAGCATTTTACCACCTCTTAATCCATAAGAAGCAAATCTAAATGGAAATCTCGTTTGCCTGGTCCCTGTAGGTCTACCATAATTGTGTCTTAATAAGAGTCATTAAAGGAGGGGGTGCTCTTTTGTACAAGGATTTATACTTTAATTTTGCATCTTAAACAGAGAAGGAGAAAGTATATATTTAAAGAATCAGGCTAGACTTAAGTTTTTTGCAAACAGTGCTTCAGTGATGTCAGTAGAATGACATTATTAAAAGATTTTCACCAAATAACTTTATATGGTCATACGAGGCTAAAGGGTAAAACTTATTTATCACAAAAACACTTGGTTTGAAATATGAAATACATTTTATTCCGTGGAAAATAAAAAAACACAATTACTTACATTCTTTCCTCTTCTCACAAGCACCCAAACATTCAGAGCGGTGGAAAACATATTTAATTGTACCCCAACCCAATAGGGTTTCTCTCTCCTTCAAATAGGGACGGTAGCATGCACTTGTAGCTTTTAAGACCCTGGTAAAACAATCTTCTACATCAAAAGAGTCTGTTAACACATATTACCGATGAAGCTTTAAGACACAGGTGTCAAACATACAGCCCGGGGGCCAGATCCGGCCCTCCAAGACCTTTAATCTGGCCCTTGGCTGATTTTCTACTAAAATATTTTTATTATATTTTCTATTAAAATATTGGTAATTTTCTGCGGTGCTGAGCATAGTGGCGTCTCCAGCGTCTCTGTGCGTGGCCCCTCCCACCAGAGCAGCACAAATGAAGACTTGTGTCTTTCCAAATGCTCTTAAAGGACGATCGTTTTGACTGTTGACTGTAACACCCTTATCAGCAAAATGTCAAAAATGAGAAAAGCAGACACAGAGTGCAGAATTTTCCAAGAAAAATCGACTTATTCCTATTTGCATACAAGTTAAAGTTAAAACATTGTGTTGAAATTGGATTTTCCTTAAAGTTTCAGGTTGTTCATAATATTATAATATTTTGTAAAAGAAAGAGTTCATCAATTAAAAAATATTTCTGTAATAGATTTGACTTTCTCTGCACAAATATTTGAACTTATTGTTATTTTTGGGGTTTATATGACATGAGTTTTCTGATCCGGCCCCTTTGGGATCAAAGTAGGTTGGATACGGCCCCCGGACCAAAATGAGTTTGACACCGCTGCTTTAAGACATGGATGTGCACAAAGACAAGTGTGCATACTCCATTTCCTCAAAGTCTTAAATGCACCTTAATTGTACGAATAGATGGATCTCAACAATGCAGGGCAGATTTACGTGACAAGAGGTTTCCTAGGTACACTACTGTCTAGTGCACAATGCATAACATAATTGTTTCCCAATGTATCATTAACTTATGTTACTGAGATACATTTACAACAGAGCACACAAGCCTCAAAGTGTTAGTCTGAATGAGAACTGTCACTGGATTTGCACGACTTGTGTTTCCGCTTCCTTTTACGTTTCTTCTTGTCCTTCTTCTTCTTATCTTTCTTCTTCTTTTTCTTCTTGCTGCGCCGTTTGTCTGAGGAGGAGGAGCTCTCTGATTCAGATGATGATGAGGAGGTGGTGTCCTGGAGCAGCTGCTGAAGCTGCTGAATCCTAAAAAGAGCAAAGGGAGAAAGATATTAATCTCAAGTAGGAGAGTAGCAAGAGGTGATGTACACTTTGGGTGGCTCTGCTGGCAACAAGGTCAAGTGGCTCTCACAATAAGCCCCTCTCTGAACAGATCGGAGAAGTTATATAAACTTGTAATAAAAAATACTGCAGATTTTTGGATACTAGATGGTAATATCCTTCTAGGTAAGGCTGTGCTTAGTTTTATACTAAGTCTAAGTCTATACTTATACTAGACAATGATGATAATAATGATACAAAAACACTGTTTACAATTATGAATGTGAGGTTAACTAACAGACTTGTGACCAATATCAACATGACACTGAACCATGCAGACTTCAAAGAGCTGGTGGCCTTTGAGTAACCTTTTTAGTAATTCTTGCAAAAACACAGTACTTGTGTGAATGTGTGCTCCACTGCTCCATGTATTTATTCTGTATGCAAGAATACACAAAAAACAATGAAACGTCATGGTGTGCTATGAGTAAGTGAAAACAGCCATCACAGAATTTCCAGGTCAGGAGAGATTGTGCTACTCACCTATGGAAAAAGAGAACCTGTGTGAGACCCAACTCTGCCTGGTCTCCCTTTGTTCTTTTATCTTGTTTATCTTAAATGTCAGACTGGCATTTAGCTAAATTAAAAGCCCAGAAGGGCTGAAATAACCGAACAGAGACTAGACAATTATAAAGGGAAACAAACCTGGTTTCTTTTTCATTCCTTTGGTTTTCCCTTATCAGATCATACATAGGATCCTCGTGAGCCTTAAACACACAAAAACATACAATAGCCACTAATTACAACAAACTAGCTTGTATTACACTCTTTTTCTACATCTAATATTTCAGTTACAAAGTAATCAGGCTCCAATACATACACTAACATCTATTAGTGCATTAGGTACTGGCACAAATATCTCAATACCAGTAGAATTTCACTGCATGTCATCAATATTTTTTTTTCTAAAAATAACTAGTAAAGGCACATACAATAGTCACATACAATACTCACCACTCTAAACTGTTCTAGTTTCTGATTGCCTTTGATGAAAAAAGGGCACTCTCTGTCACCTGTTCTGTGGCCATAACGCTTGCATCTCCAGCCTGTATGAGAAAGACATGATTGGGTATAAATAAGAACCTAGCAAAACTGACTGTAATTTAAAACTGTTTATTTACATTTGTTTCAGGTTTCATGAGACAATGTAAATACAGGCTTACTAACACTCTCAGAACACTGCTCAAGAGTTTCAAGAGTAGTATGTTAATTTTTTCTATTACACTGACAGAGAAGACATTTGGGGAGTAACTGTAAAGTATTGACATGTTTGCAATCTCTCTCTGTAACTTAAAGGTACACTGTGCAACTTTTCTGGCGGAGGATCTGTCACCTGCTTGTCTCCATAGAGCTGTTATTGTTTTTTCTGGAATGTTCCATAGTATGGAATCAGAGATTTCATTTAACATTTATTTATCACGGGTGTTTCTATTGCTCAAAAATACAATAATTGAATAGGGGTGACTCTCCACAGATCTGAATTGTAATGTAGTGTAGTGCTGTAAACCTGCTTGTCTCCCTTGTGATAGATGGATTTAATCCAGACCTGGACATTGTACAGCTCCTTAGCCACATACGGCCCTTTAAGTTAATTCTGAATTACAAAATAAACATATTTTATAATTTTACCTCATGCCTGGACTAAAGCTGCATTGCTTTTATTTTAGGTGTTTTTGGAAGGCAACCTCACTTTTTCATTAGTCATCACATATACTCATACCAGCTTGTCAAAACAATGGTATTGACTGCTTTTTATAAAGAAATACAATTCATATTATGCAGAATTGATTTAAGCATTTTGGCCTGGCCCTCCACAAGATTTTTTTTTGTGGCCTCATGGAAGAAAAAAAAATTACCCACCCTGCGTTTAATCTATACTGTGGAACATAATAGACAAAGCAGTAAATACATAAATAATCATTCTATGGAGATAAGCAGGTGGCAGACCCTCCACTAAATTTTATGTAGTGCACCTCTAAGGAAAACAGTATCTTACGACTATAAAATATTGATGTCTTCGCAATCTCTCTCTGTAATTTGAGGAAAATAGTATATGTGAATATAAAATTGAGATTAAATGGGAGTAATGCAACTGAATAATACGGTTGAAATTATATGAGGTCTTGTATCATATCTTGCACTGTGGGGATAGGCCCCATGAGGTGTCACTTACACTGCATCACTTTGACCTCTTTCCCCAGCGGCATCCACAGGCCTTTAGTGGGAGCGTGAGCCAGAAATTGTCTGGCGTCTTCATTTCCAGGCTCTGCGGGAATACAGTCCTCTGGCTTCTCTTCATGCTCCTACGACAACACCTCTGTCACCGCACGACCACACATGATCAACTAACAAGACTCAACAATAACACTACCTTGATGTATCCTGGTGGTGGCTTTTCATAACTGAATACAAATAGGTTGTTTATCAAGTAAAAGTTTTATTACAGGGCAAATTCATCAAGTAATCAAATTAAATGAATGAACTACTCACAATGTCTCCACATGTTTCAGCTTTTGGACCTCTTGAGTAAGTTTTTTCGTTTGCATCTGTAGTAGTTCCAAATCCTCCTTTGATGTTTTGTGTTTTTTATTGTCTCTTCTGTCATCTTTGTCCCTTGTTCGTTTTCTGTCAGACATTTCTGTGGTATGTGCAATCAAATATTTTGTCAGAAGCTTTCGGTGATTAAAAATAAAGCAGTTTAAATCCCCTGAATACTGCTGTGCTATTTCGCTGCTAGGCTAGCTTCACTGAGGCTACACTTCCTGTGGGGACGTGCTGGTAAAGTGAAAGTCCAGCGACACCTGCAGGTCTCGAGGAGTATCACGCACAGAGCACGGCTGAAATATTTAAAATTTTATAACATTATTTATATTAATATTTATATTCATATCCTCTATATCCTCTATCTATCTATCTATCTATCTATCTATCTATCTATATATATATATATATATCTTTTACGTTCTGTAATTTTTTATTATACATTACACAGTAGTAAAACACAGACAGATAAGAAAAATGTATTTGTTTATTTTATCGACATAAAATAAGTGTGAGAGGTAGGTCATTTTAGGACGCAAACCAATTTGATCATAGATCCATGATACAAACACTGTGTACTTCAAACTTCAAATACAGAAAAGCAGGTATGTTGGTACAAATACAGTAGATTACATACAAATCACAACTGTTAACAAAAACATAAAAAATAAAAAATATAATAAAAAAATAATAACAGTGGATATACTGTATTTACATGTTTTCTGTACATGTACAGAAAAGTCAGGTATATGTAAACTGTAAATATTTTTGTAACACAATTGCAAAGTTTACAACAAATTTGTATGCATTTATTGACAAAATGCCCAAGAAACCCAAAATATAAACATTTACCAGATAATTGGTAAATCTAATCATCCTGAAACAATATTTGTGTAAACAGTGACAAATATCACAGTGCTCTGTGGGATTTAAGTCATTTGTTAAAGTAACTCTTCTGTAAACCCAGTAACAGAAAAAAACAAAACAAAACATTGACCCTTTAATTCAGGGGAGTTTAAACTCTTTTCACTACTATAGTCACAGCAGAGGGCTGATGTTCAGTACAGTGAGTCTTTAAAATGGGAGCATTTAACAATGCTTTGAATGTGTCACGATACCTGGTAAATGAGCAATAAAAGTACTGTTTATTATTTTTTGGGCCAATTCGGCAGAAGGCCTGAGGGACAAAACAAATTGGTCTGAGGGCTGCATTTGGGTCCAGGGCCATAGTTTGGACAGCCCTGCCATAATAGACATTACAACAGAAGTTGTAATTGAACTGCAATAGCACACTGAAGAGAGAAGATCCTGGGGCAGCACTCAGAGCTTGGCAAATAACTCCAAGATTGGCTAGGAAACGTATGATACGTTCACTTTTGCCATATGAGCAAAACAATTTACCTTCCACCCCAAACATGTTTTACAAATAATGTTAAAATAGATTCAAAGAGAGGAGAGGAAATCTTTCAACCCGCCCTTCTTTTTGCCCTGGTTGTCTTCTCGCAGGAGTATTTTGCTCAGACGTTGCACAACCCAGTTTTTGCCCTTTGCAGCTGGAGATTTAGAGGAAGTTGATCCTGAGCCTGAAGGGGTAGATGAGATGGAGGTTCTAGAAACGAAAGACAGCAGGAAGGTTAGGTACAGTAACTCAATATTTTGTTGGTTGACAGAAACATAATATTAATATTGTGATGTCCAATATATGATCTGGCAAACATGAATTCCAGCACGTATATTGCATGCTAAAAAAAGATACACATATACAAATTACGTGTGACATCTTAAGAATGCGATTCTATATAAATAGTGGCAGATGCATAATTCCACTTACCGAGGAGTGTGCACAGGCGTTTTATCTTTTGCCCCGGTCTTGGGGGTGGATGTGCTAGATCTGCTCCCTGACTGGGGTGTCTTGTGCTTTCCACTGCCTCCTGGTATGCTGTGAGTTCTGGACAGAGTCATTATAAACTCTCTGCCCATTCCTTTGTGTCTAGATGTCCTATTGCATGTGTGGCAAGTAGCCATCTGTGAAAAATAAGGGGGATTCAGTAATCATTCAAGTTTTGAATAAACATGTGCATCAAAACAGACCACTCCTGAGAATATTACTTTCAGACATATGAGTATTCTGACCTCATCCTGAGCAAGTGACAAACTAAACCAACATTAAAAAAAAAGAAATCATGACACAGAGAGGGTAAAGTGAGAATTCCCAAAAGAACCTAATGACGCAGGCCAGCCTCTAGGCCCAAACACACTGTTGCTCAAAACAACAATGTAAATCTAAGAACATTTAATCATTAGATAAAAATAGTAAAATAATAATGACTGGTAAACAACAAACAGCTAAGCCACTGTAGAGACCAAGATTGTGATTCACTGTGAGCAACTTCATGGACATTTCTACAGGACACTTTTATTTGTACAACATAATCTAAAATATATTTGTTAATAGATTAAGTCAAAACATCCCATTCTATCAGCCCACTAGATTTGTTTCACACGGACACAACAGAGGGTGTTATGAAAGAAACACTAAACGATCAATACCCAACGCACAATTAGCTGTCCCAAGCTAATTATAGTCTACCAACATTTTCTATGCAGCTACAATGAGTCATCCAAATTGCTACTTTACTAAAGACCATCTCAAACTAAATTGTCAAACTTTCCAAGCAGCAACACTGTATTAATTAATTGTTAATTGCTTAAACAAATCTTGGTGATGCTTCAAAAAACCTCAAGTTAATTACATTCCTGTATTTTACTTCCAAACTCAATAACTCAGTTCCAACTAGAGTCAGACAAGCTTGAGCAGGAGACCTCCAGAGCAGAATCTGTAACTTGTAGCAAAAGTTGTTGACAGTCCTGAATGCTGAAGTGATGGAAAACTCACCGACACGAAAGTAGCCATTTCAGTTAGTGACAGGTGTCTCTGTTAAGGTTTCAATGGACCAAGGAAGACCAGGGATGTCTCTGTGGGATGCTGTGTCAAATGTTTAGTGTTGAAGCCTGCATGCTTGGCTTTATACAGAACTACTGACCCGCCCATGAGGACTGAGGGGTGTGGCAACAACAAGACAGACCAATTCAGAGAGAAAAAGAGGCCAAACAATCTCAGGGGCAGCCAGCATAGTGCTGATGTGAATCATCTGTATGATGCTGGGATTGTTTAAACAAGTAGCTGAAAAATACATCTATGCAGATAAGACAAAGTATAGTTAGTTACATATAAAAAAAAAAGTTAAATAAATAAAAGCTAAATTCCATCTTTTAAAATCTCAACAAGATAAACAATTTACAGTTAAAACTCAAAAGGTAACCCTAAGCCTAAAGGTCCACAAAAGGGAAACTTACTATTAAGGTATAATTCATCCAATTTCCTCTTTTTCAAAAAGTGGGATAAACATTAAACAACACGTGATGAAACACTGATGGCACTTCCAGGTACCACTGGTGTATTTGTGGTGCTCCAGAAGAGGATCAGTTGTATTCATCCAACAACTGGTCCCCAAGCACATAGCACTATGCTAATGAGTTCACAGTGCCATGACAAATGAATCAGATAATGGTACTCATGCATTCTGGGAATTCTACAGATGAATAAAGGAAGAAAAGAATGCATCGGTGTACGCACATTAAAAACACTTCCCCCAATATACTTTGTACATTAACATAATGATCACCTGAATAAAATCGTGACTGCTCAACTGAGCACATTGATAACTTTACTTCTCTTATTTTAAATAGGAAAAAAACAACCTTCTATCTTCTAAGAAACGACGAGTCTAGAGATGTTCACAAATAATGACCTCTCTGATTAATCCTGGCAGTAGATAAATGTTTGTTTAGTTGTGAGAAATAAACTATAGTACATTTAATTCATCACATGCATTTGTTTAATTGACACTTGTGCCCAGAAATGTAGTGAATGCACATGTGAGCCAGTGCCCCTGGTAGATTTGATTTCTCATCCTGGTCCTGATCCTGGTAGCAGACAGGCCTAAGCATGGGCCAAAAAGACATATGGCTAAAGAGGGCTCAGGCTTTTGGATAATCAGCCACCTCTAAACAGCTGCAGGAATATTAGGGCCAACTACAACTGGCAATTTAAGACCAAAGCATAACTACTACTGCAGAAAAAGCCACAAACTGTGCACTTAGAATTCAATAAATAAGCTGTAAAATTCTACCTTGATCTCCAAACTGCAACACATAAATAATGTCTTAGCTCAACCTGCAGTTAAAGATGTGCTCAACCTGCAATTAAAGATGTACTTAACCTGCACATGTGCATAGTTCGCTGTAGTAGTCATTGACAGGAAAGGAATAGTAATGTGTCAGCACCTGCTACTGAGGCAGAATCATAAAAGCTGCTATGCAATAATAAAACCATCATCTATTTTTAGTGAGCAAGACTCCCATTGTAAAGTGTAAAGTGGATACAAGTGATGCAACAATATCATAGTGGAGTTTAATTTGGGATTAAATTAGAGGGTTAAGATGCCCATTGCCCAAATTTAACACGTCCTGCAAAAGGAAAAAATGTGGTCACCAGAGGCCTTTACAATTGAACTCTGATTATTAAAAATATTTATTCTCTGCATAAAAAGATGATGTTTCTTTTTACTTAAAACTTCATAAATACTACAGTTTCTGAGGTAAGAATACTTTTTTATTTTCATATAAATTTGCAAAAAAGCATGGCATAAATCCATGGTTGAACACAGCGCCACATAAATCAATTCAGCAGATGGACCTCTCTTTCTATTATTAGCCTGAGCTCCATAAATACCCCCGTATCCTGCATCACACTAAGGGCTGCCAGAGGTCAGCGAAGCTGATTAACCCGACCTTGGCAGTTTGATACCACCTACCACCAGAAGGGAGAGAGACGAGTGAAAGAATTTAGAAGCTTCCAACAAGTTTAATCCTCCACAACAGTTTATAAGTTGCATATTTAGACTGCGTGATGGGATTTTCAACTGTGATGAGAGAGAGTGTCCACTCAGACAAAGGCATATGTATGTTGATGCTTGGGGGGACAGTAATTTGAGACCACGTCAATACTTCACCATAAAGTAGAGGGGCAGTTTGTGGATCAATAACAGGCATAAACTTTCCTCTAAACATGGCCTTGTATAGTAAGAGTACAACAATGTCTAGTAGGAACAAAAGCCTGGCAAGAACACAAAGGAACCTGATACTAGCACAACAGGCTACTCAACCTATTGGGGATAAATGTAATAAATCTGTCTGTCTGTCTCTCAGTGGGCAGTGGAAAAAGGTCAGCTTCAGGTCTTCACAACATGTACTGTACTGTAAAAGGAAGGCATTTATAGACTAAAAAGGCGATCCTGCTCACTTTAAGAATGCAGTCTTTGAAGACATTTTTGTGGTAAAAAATGAAGAAAAAAAAACACATACATAATAAATGTTAGGCAAGCTCAATGCCATTGCATGGAACATACCATGCACAGCAATAACAATTCCATAACAAGCAGGTTGTGGACCCCACCACCACAAATTTTACACTGTGCACCTCTAAAGTAATCCTCTATATTCAGACTCCTTCTCAAAAGTGTAAAATACTTGATTCCACCGCCACCTGACATTGTGAACCCTGGAAGTGTTCCTTTGGGTTTTTGAAGTTCAGCCTGTGAAACCTGCTTAGTGACAGATCTTTTGTTGGAGTGGTGAGGATCAGAGATAAGCGACAGCAGGACTCACATCTGAAACTGATCTGTCGTCCATTAAGCAGCTGCTGACAGACAAGTGGTGAGTGAGGCTAACAGTGACAAAATCCAGACTTTAATGTTAAATTTAGGCAAGGAAATTTAAGTTCCAAATTTAGAAAAAAGAATTAAGAGTGATACAAGAGTATGGCATGCTCCCATAGGTATGAGGTTCCTTCTATGTGGCTTATGCCCTCGTGAGAGAGATAACAATGGAACGTGAGGAGCATCCTCTCTCCTATACTCAGTTTTCTGAAATAATGTAAATACAATGCAAAGTGTTTTTTTATTTTGTTTAGTGGGCAGAGTGTACTCATAATAAAATGTAAACCAATAATGAATAAAACAAAATTAGACACTTTGGTAGTTCATTTGTCACTGGATCAGTTAATCTGTCAATTGTGTCTTAGTTGACCAGTTTTTTTTTATTAGTTGAGAATCAAATTATTTATATAGAGTAGAGCAAAACAAATAATCGTTATCTGGAGTTTTGGGAGAGACTGAACAATAATTTTAATTTATCCTAATAATTTTTACAGCTTTTCCCAGTGCAACAGTATAAGTCAACTACAACAGTGTAAGTCAACCCTACACTTTGGTGAATGCTGATGCCTTTTAAGTATAACTTTGTAAGAATAAGTCTTCAAGTGTCAAGTTGTGCTTGAAGAAACTCAAGGCTGGTACTGGCTGCTGATACTGTTCTATGTACTTTACATGTTCTTTCTCCAGTGTCATCGTCACATCTCTTATTTGGCTAGCATTTGGGTGTCAAAGTACTGTAAAGCATCCTTTGCATTGCTGACTAATGGTTCGAAATGTAGAATAACACTAAGCATGAATAAGATGCAAATTATGGCACCATACATTGCATTACTGCCATTGTCTTACAACATTTAATATGTGCTTAGTCCCTCTATAATTAAAATAATATGGTTAATTGGCACCATATTATAAATAGTGTTACTGTTTTTATCAGTCTTCAAAGATTGTGTATTCAGCAAATTTTGTCGAAACTGTTTATGCAAGTACTTTTTAGACTACAGTTAAAGATGAAAAAGTGATGTCTTGGTGATGACATGATAATTTAAGTGCCAGAAAACAAGTACCAGGAGATGCATGTTGGTCACTGAGGTTAAAAGTCAATTACGAACAAAGAATAGACACCATTAGTCAGAAAAAAAATATTCCAGCTGAAATTATTCAAACAAATCTAGGCCTGCTGGGAAATCTAAATACGAACTGAACAAGGACACACTCCATTTAAGGTCTCTGCTCTGTCCCTACACTTGCCATTATTCATTTTCTTCCAGAGTCAAAGGCTCACAAGCCTGAATGCTTCAAGTTAAAAGAGAAGTATTTGAATGTGTGATGCTACAGACAGTAAATCATGTGCATTGTATACAATGTATTAAAAGATGTTTTCTTCTTACTAAATAAACTTAAATAAAGCAGAGACGCTAACCAGCAGGGCTACAAATGTTCTTATATTGATCAATCAAATTTTTCAATTTGAATTGGGTTACTAAAACAAAGAAAATGTCTTTATCGCACAAAAAAACATTCAAACTCAAGACTGTAGACTACAGAACAGAGAAAACCTTTGTTTTAGACTCTTCTGCCTGTGCTGTTGTAATCAGTATGTTCTGAGAAAAAGTCTTTCTCACCAATCTCACCGCTCTTAGGACTATCAGCTCTCTGTCACCCCGTGCTGAGGGCAGGTGTGTGCTCGTGTGCATACAGAGTAGACAGCTTCATATATTGCCTCTTAAGCCGCTAACATAAAGCAAAGTGAAGTAACCATCAAAACAAGGCTAAAAATATTTCAGTGGGCAAAGCTTTGGGGGTATCAGTTTACAAAGAGGAAGTCACGTGACTGTCTAGTATCCACATTCCTGTGAGTGACCAAAATAATGCCATGCAACGTCACTGCTGAGGCCAAAACACCCTTCTACTCAGTGACACATAAGATACTTATTTAGAGTTAAAAGTGCACTATGTAACTTTTTGGTTGGGGGTCCATTACTTTTTTGTTTCTATGGATATGTCATTCATTGCTCTGCCTGGAATGTTTCACAGTATACCATTAAACAGCTCTACCTTACAATTATTAAATTACATGTATTTATTTATTTTTTTTAATAGCATATACGGTAGTTTTATAGCAAAATATCTAGAAAACAGACATTCTGACTGTAACTTGGCCTGGTTTGGTCTCCATGTAATTAGAAAAGTTTACACCTTTTTTTATATCATACATTAAAAAAGCATTAACATCTCCACGGAGAAAAGCATTTGATGGACCCTGCACCATAAATGTTACACAATGCATGCCCTACATAGCTATACAAAAATATTTATATTTATTATAAAAGGTATAATAATCGCCATTTTTTTCATCTGCTTTTGAGCTGAGTTGTCATACGCATAGATACTCTCTCGTCTTCTGAGAGACAAACAGTCCAAAGCAGGTTCATCGCTGTATGCTAAATACCTGTCTGCTAAATGACCCCTGACACATTTTAATGAGGCAAAAGCATTTCCACTCGAGTCGCTCTTCATTAGCCTGATGTCAGATGGCCATAAAGGCTCCACCACAGCTCTCCTCTTCACCACTCTCTAATGCACACACCAAATGACCCTAATACAACTGGTCTGTCTAAATAGGCTCATCTCAACAGTGGGACGACTGACCAACACTTTGCTTTGGGTTTGTTGACACTCTGATGGAAGCTATTAGGACAGGCTATAAGGTCTGGTATAGGCATGTGGAGAGGAGTAGATCTAGTATGAGTAAAAACATTTACTCTTCCAGAATTGAGCTTAATGGCACCACTGTAAAAGGTGTATTGATGAGTGCAGCTCTCACTCTCGATGAAATGAATACAAACAAACTCATCTATCTAAATGGCAGTAACTGGAAAGAATACATCCAGAGGCAGCGGCTGGATAGTCAAGTTAATAATAAATTATAGTGTGATGGGGTTTTAAACTATGCTGGTAAAATGTCCACCTCTCATGGCTGGTCAGTCTGACTGTTTAACTGGGCTAATATTAAGTTTCACATTGACAGACTCATACTCCAGGAATCCACTGGAGGGCCTTAAATGTCCAATACATGCACTGCTATTGCATAAAGTATTTCTCATTTTAATTACTTAATAATGCATGTTTGTATCTGATTTAATCAGAATCAGTGCTCTGAGAGTGAGAGTAAGTTTAGTGGCTTCTCTGAGGGACACTATACAATTATAGGCTTGAATAATGCTACAAGCCTCAGTCATGCTGTAGTCACATGGTTAATACAAAAATCTACAGGTTATTTATAGATATAAAAATGCTCAGAATATTTATCCCTAATCATGAAAATATCCACCATTATGCCCTTTTAAATAGATGATGCTCATCCTCCCTGTGGTTCTAGACAATGGTGTTTGTGTTCCAAGACAACATGGTGCAGTGCAGTGTATCATCAGTGCGACGTTTCTCACCAGGGCTGAGGAGGACTTGTAAAAGCGCTGCAGCAGATCTCTCTGCACCAGACTCAGAGCTTTTCCTTGAGCCTGTCGGCGCAGGACCCTCTGCACTCGGGCCGAGGGCCGCTGTTTGGGACGCACTCTCACTCGGTGGTTGTCTGGCATCAACCACTGATAACAGAATGGACAGGCAGGGAAGCTTGACTTCTTTGAAGGGCCTGAAGATGAGACAAATTGTGGTAATCCTTTGTACAATACAAGTTTTATTTATCATAAACAATAATTAATAATTTAAAAAGTAATAAATTAAATAGTTCAGCTAAGTAGTAAATTAAATCTATGTTTATATTCATTTTTGAGTGAATATAACAGATTGTTCTGTCAGGCTCCTGTGTTTATGAATACATCTATGAGCTTGATCCCACCAGACAGTTTGCTACAGACATCTGGCTCACTCCATGAGCTGGACTGAGGATTTAGTGAGTTTTATTAACCTTGACAATCTGGTGGAAAGGTGCATGTAAAATGCATTTTCAAATGCAAGACTGATATAGAGAATGATACAGAAAATATCCTATAACTTACCATCAGCTTCTATTGGACCTTGCCTACACAGACAAAAAATAAACTATTAGCCATTTTATTAGCAGATAAAATATTAAAGTGCATCAAGAACGAATAGCCTACAGTATATTTATAGCAGTGTGGACCTGTGGAAAACATCCATGCAGGGAAGCTAATTATTCCTTCCCAAACTAAATGAGGCATCTCTCCAAGCCCTGTTTCCACTTTTGAACTGCTAACAATGAGACACACACACTCTAAGCCACAGCTAAATCCTGCTAAAATTAGCTATGGTCTAAAATTGAAGGGAAACATAGTCCCAAAGCAGAAGCACGTGAGGGTAAGGGACATACATAAGACGCAGTACATTTGGGGAGGGCAGCTGACCCACTGGCGTCTGGCACTGCACTGTGTTGATTCTCTCAGCCTTCAGTCATCACATGGGAACGCTGCACTGTCTGTGACATTGGACACAGCCAGGACAAGAGGAAATATACAGCTGGCATTTGTCATCTTACATACCTCTGTCTGACTCCCCTCATGCCTAAATTTATTAATAAAGGACTGGATTAAACTGTCAGATTGTAAAGATGCCTCATCACAAAGAACAAACCAAAACCAGCAACAACAACAGTGTGATGCCAGCACAGACTGACTCTTGTGGAAGAATGATAATGACTCATGGAACTTGAACATTCCCACAAAGTTTCACATACAAAACTATTTACTGTTCAAATACAATGATACCGTTCACTCCAATTGTGCATAGGCCGTTCTAGATCATTTTCAAATCTGGGCAAAGGTATGATTTTTCAAGAATAAGATGAATTAGATTTAGTCTGTGTGTGTTAACAATTTCTTTGGAGGACTCTGTTTTCTCTTCAGATGCACCAATCTTATTACAAGACTCAGCCTGCATTTCCATCTAAGAGCACAGTGCGGCTTCGATGATTGGTCCTAAAGATACCAGGCAGCGCACAGACTTCTGACATGTTTTTAAAGTAGAACAAGGGTCTATAGAATAGATAAAACAACTGGTTGAGATCATAAAAAACTCTATATGGGCCTATTTAGTGTTGAGTGCACACTGTTTTAGTGCTTAGTGATTGTTCCACAGGATAGCAAGGTCTTATCTCCCCGAGGTGACAGAAAGAGACCAGCAGGTGCCTGGAAGTCTAGCTCACTCTCAGCAAAATAATAAATGGAAAAGAAAAGTAACAGATCTGACAAACATTAGTGCTGCAAACAGAGTCTTGGGATGGTGATATTAGTAAATACATCAACAACATGCATTCAAGTTTGTATTGACTTGTACTACAGTTGGGTTCCAAGCTATATATTTGCATGACCATTGTTCTCAGTTTACTTGTCCCTTATTACTCTTTGTGGCTGGGCAGGGGGCACACCATCTCTCTTGGTTATTGAGAATTATAAAAAGGATCATTTTATAACTACGTGAGTAACCAGAGAGGTCTGCTTCTTTCTAACACTACCGCTACAAATATATTGCCGATACTATGTCAGAACAGTCATAGCTCTTTGATTCTCACTTCCCTGTCTAGCTTTGAATGTTGCAATTATCTTTTATGCAGCCGAAATCTGGAACAGTATTTTTTTGCATGATTTACGTATTAACTGTAGTCTACAAGTGCATTTGTAAGTTTGAATAAAGTATGAATAATCAAAGTCTTTGTTTGCTGGTTTGGTTTGGTTTTCTGGCAGTTTGCTGGCTGCACATTCATGGAAATGGACATTAAAGAAGGGGTATGCTTCCACATTATAACTCTTCCTTTATCAAAAAATTGTCTGAAGAGGTGTGAGATGTCATCCATCTGTCTCCTGGGGCTTATTCGAACCCTACTTACAGTTAGCGTTAAGATTCTGTGCAATGCTCAACTCACAAGTTTACGTCACTCATAATCCCATATTACAATTATCCATAAAAATACAGAAACATGGAACAAAACTACACACAGCAGCTTGATGCGATGTGCAGTAGTTTAGCAGGATGCATACTGTCAATATGTTCTTTATACAAATAAAGCATTTTCAAAACATGGCAACATGGTGATATCAATATGTTATGTGTTAGCAGTTAATACCCCATAGAAGTCCAGTGACCGAGAGACACAGAATCTTGAGTCCCATGTGGTCATAATTACATTCTTCACATAGTTCTCCAGTTATAAACCAGAGTTCATTTGGATTATCACTGTTGATCTCAGCAGATAAAATAATGAATCACTTGGACCACACATAACACAGCCAAAGCCCTACAAATGAGGAAGTAGCAATGAATGTTCAGACTCACAGTGGCTTCAACAATAACATTATATCATATAACATTTTCAAGTGTAGAAATTACAGTGGGTTTGGCACCATTGTGTGACAATGCCATCCTAATTGCTTCCTGTATTACAACAAATACAACAAACAGGGAAGCTCTGTCAATATCAGGCAGACAGAAGGTGAGATCAGTGGCAGGAGGCAGTCACAGTTTTCAAGAGATATGCAGTAGTAAGTCTGAGAATGGCAAACACCCACCAAACACTTCACTGACGCAGAATCTGAACCACAACAGCCGACGCACATGCACACGCACTGGGTAATTCCACTTACCCAATTAAAAATTGGCGTCATTATTTTATTGTTAACATCAACGTAATTGGCAAGATACTATTTAAAATTGGACTCATGGCTCCCTGTTAGGAGTTAGGACCTCTTGTTCTGAGACTTGCCCTAATATTTGTATAGTTGGTGAGTTGTTTAAAGTTAAAAGGTCCAAAAACAAAAATGCTCAATTTGAGAAAGGAAATATGGTGAACAGATCAATGCATGAATGTAACTGTGAGGTCATGCACGCATCTGTAAAATAAGCCAAAACTGAGGTTTTGTAATTCAATCAATGTTTGTCTTTCCATTCATGGTTTAAGCCACAGCATTCCTGGCCCAGGTACATGTGGAAAAAGATTATGGATAAGGATATGGACACAACCCAAATCAAACAAGGGACAAGAGTACAGACTGTGCAAGACATCACTTACAGATAATCATGTAGATTACATTAACAATGAGATTACAACATATCTAATATGAGAATAAGATGATGACTAAAATGAATTGGGTTACCAGTACCAGTGATGGTCAGATTACTTTATAAACAAACATACAAAACTATTAGTGACTACTGATTTCTCCTTCTAAAAAGTAATGTAATTACTACTCTTAGAATTTTATTTCAAAAGTAATTTGATTACTGATTACTATATTACTTGGAAAAAAACATGTGAGCTCAGGAACCATTTTACAAAAGAATGAATTCTTCACAATAATTACACTCTTGGTTATAGAACCTAATTTCAAGCAGAGACGACGCACACAGACTTGTATAGAACAATATTTGTATTATTCTGGTTCATGGCTGATCTGTGTAGGACACCAGAAGAAGACATCCCATGCGACCTGTTCATCTTTTTTACTGTTTTATGACACTGTTCTATAGATTACACACATTTTTGGCAGGGAAAAATTACTAAAAGTTTCCTCATAACTCAATTTCATGTAAAATGACTGCTTTACAAATAAGTCATTTAGATTAGATTAGGTTTGTGTGGTCTGTGCCCAATGACTTGGCTTTTTTAGTACTTGTCTCTCTTAAATAATGACTCGAAGTCAGTGTAATTCCTCATTCGTTCAAGCTTGGTCATTGCCAGTGAGTGTAAACTTTGTCTAGATTACTACTTTTTTCAGAGGGCCAGAGTACGTTGGGCAATGCAGCGAGGGACTGCGAGTCATTCAGATAGATGCATTTAACAGCACTGCAGAGTCACTGTACTTGGGACATGAATTGTAACTCTGTATTACAGTGCAATGTGATGTTATTGAAGCTACAGTGGTAAAATTAGTTTTTTAAATTTGGAAAATAAAGGACTGCATAAGGTAATTTTGGCCAATTCAGCCAGAGACCTGAGAGCCAACAAAAATTGGTCTGAGAGACACATTTGGCCCCTGAGCCATAGTTTGGACATCCCTGGTCTAGACTACCATTTAGTTACTCAATATGAAATGATCACATACAAGTCAATTAAACTGAACCATTTACAATTACACAAATTATATACTGACTAAAAACTAATGTTTTGTTTCCACTTCAATAAAATGTACTTATTCATTTTTGTTTAAACAGTCCCGCTTACTTTTTTATTTTGTCTTAGGTGCAATAGCCAGTAAATCCCCCAAATTTTCTGCCAAAGTTAAGTTGAAATCATAACCGGTAATAATGTCACCCCACAGCCCATACTTTATACAAATGAAAGAGGCAACCACCAGCCAATGCACATTTGGCTTGAGTGCTTAAGCAACTCACTCGTGAAATAGAAAGAGCAGAAGCATGCACCAATACACAGAGGTATCTGTTGCCATATTTAGACCTAAAAATCATTCAAGGACAGACAGTTGTTATTGTTGAAAATACAAACACGACCAAACAATAATGATAAGCAGCAAGAGGAACTACATGAGGTGAATTATTAAATCTATTGTATTGAATGGGCTTGTAGTTATAGAACCTAATGTACTCCACTTATTATGCAAAAATCAATGAATCCTGGTGAGCCGTTTAGTCAGGAGAACTGTGAGCATTGGATTTAAAGTATTATGAAATATTTTTAGGCAGCTGGTCTCATTAATTAGCAAATAAAGCATCAATAACACTGAACAATCAATGACTGTATTTTAAATCGCAAAAGCACAGGCCAAAAAATATAGGTTGTGAACAATCGATATGAACAAATATGAAAAAGATTTACTCAAGTAAGTGGATAACAATTTTAGGTCCATAATTACTGGCGCATGCACTCCACCTAGCGGCCATATACGCAAACTACACCTTTATGGGAAAATAAGCAAATGTCTAACTTTCACAAATACGGATGTTAGTAGTAAAGTAAGGAATAATAAGAGGGAGTATATACGCCTTACAGTAAATGTCGAGAGAGCTCTGGGCACGTATCTTTATACAGCAGAGACGCTTGAATAAGAAAGTTGGATGCGCTTTCGTCGAGTGATGTCTTCATTATTGAGCCGTAAGCCTGAGGAAAACACAGAAAATGTTATTTGCTGGTTGTTATTTCATAAAGATTTACCCCAGCCCTTCCACAATGATGCAAAAAATGTTGAATACCGTCAGAGGCGTGTAATGACCACTAAAACACATGTGCAGGCGCGCCTTGCTGACGGAGTTTGCAAGGGACTCTGGGAAATGAAGTGAAGCCACACCTCAATAGCCTACAAATTTGAGTGTACATGAGATACTCCATGCGCTGTAAACAGATTGTGTTTATTTCACTTTCTCTCTCTTTTTATTTTTTTATTTTTTTAATTTAGGCTTGTTTCTTGGCTGTTTTTCGATGTAACCTCAACTTCAGTCAGACATGAGCATGCGTATAGTTTATCTATCTATGTTATGCATCTGATCTGACCCATTTCAAATTAAATTGCATCTAAAGATTCAAATACTATTGTGGTTCTGAATTACTAACTATCCTTGATGTCATCATTGTTTAAATCTTATTGGGCAGATGAAAGTGACTGGCTATGGACATCATTAATTCTGTGTAGCCTATAGGTTATAAAGGACTAAAGCTCATTTGTCCCAAACACTGCTCTCGGTCAACGTCCAATCAAACATTATGAGCCATCTCTTAGGAGGGACTTTAGCTTAGGGAGAGAGACGCCTGTGCTCCTGTTTGAAATGGGATATTTTAAAACAGCAGCAGCAGCTTGAAGGAAGAGTCTGCTCCTGCGTGCGCACTGATGGGTAGCCTATCCGCTGGGTGCGGATCTATCACAGAAGCAGGAGAGAGACACACGAGGATCCAGAGGAACAGAGAGGTGTGATGACACGGAACAAGTTGTGAAGAGGAGTTGTGCCTCATACGGAGATGCTTTAAAAATGCTGCTCGCAACTGCTGGACCAGCACCTTCTACGCGCAGGACAGATCTCCATAATTGTAACATGACAGTAAGTAACACCGTTTTTATTTCACAATTTCTATAGCCTACATCTGACACGACACGCAAAAAAAAAAACAAAAAAAAACAACACCTCTAATAATGTAAGCCACTGTGCAATCGCCTCTGAAGGAATTTATTTTTAGATGAGAATCCATCCAGCTGTGGACCTTCACTCTCTTTAAACCCGGACAGGTGATCCGTGTGATGGTATGAGTTATGAGGATAGATAAGTGCTGGTGCTGCCACTGCCATCAAAGCACAAGGAGAGTGCGTTCAGAAACTGATGAACTAAGCTTAAGTGTGTGAGTGATTGCTTCTCACTTTGTCCTAGAGTAAATCCTTACTTTATCAGTAGCTGTCAGACGCGCGCGCATGCAGACACAAATTGGCTATAAGCTACCGCGTGTTAGGGCTATGTGGATACTGGCTAAACGGATTTACATACTACCCCAACACCACACTAAGAACAAAGACCCTATCACCACATATACGCCTCACTTTAACTTACCTCTGTTGACCTTCTGGGAGAAAAAATAAAACCACAATGAATCATAATGGTTTGATGAGCAATGCTGCACTGACAAATTCAATGATGAATCATATGCAGCTTGACTTGAATGTAACCATCTCACAATAAAATTTCGAAGTGTGTAAACAATGCTTTGTTGTACTTAACAATACAATGCAGTTGGTGCCTTTGTGACAGCACTGATCTTGCCCTTATTTTGTCCTCCATTTGCACCTTGTCCTTGACCATGTCCAATGGAAGTGGTGACCAGACAAGTTTATAATATAGAGATGGACATTCTGACTCCTCTTTCACCCTGGTCCAGGCTGGGTTGGGGGCAGCTGGACTCCTGATACCACATTGTGAAGTGTCCTGTCAGCATCTGCAGAGAACAGCAACTCCCAGTAGCTATTGAGCCAGCGATCTGTTCTGAAATGCAACACCGGCTTCGATAGTGCTGAGGAAGCTCCCGAGAAATGCAACTTCACATGGAGTTCACTGTGTGTATGTGTGTGTGTGCGTGTGTGTGTGTGTGTGTGTGTACAGTACAGGGGTCCACTTCAATCCCTATGTGGTTGTATTTTGCCAAGTAACTGATGACACAGTGGTTAAGTGACTACCCCTCTTGCTTCACCCTAAATATTACAAATCAGGTCCATGGATAGACAAGGCTTTTAGGCCTATACAACACCTGTAAATACCTTTATTTCAGTCTGTTTGGCTAAAATCTTATGTGGTGGGGTTTTAAATCACAATTCATAACAAATGTCTCATGTAATTATCCTCCAAGTAATACAGAACAGCTCTGTAGAGATAGTTCAAACATTATGAGACTAACCCCGGCCAAGTCTTATTGCATCAGTTTATATGCCCAAACAGGATAGTGATATATAAGATATTCTAGAACAAAAATCAACACTTTTTGTCTGGATTGCGAGTGCATCCCTTACTGCAACATCCCCTGCTTATTTTCTTAAAGATGCACTATGTAATTTATAAGGTGGAGGGTCTGCCACTTGCTTGTCTCCATGGACATGTTATTTCGTTGCCTTGAATGTTCCACAGTAGGACGTATAACATACCTCTTGCATTTGTTCCATTGTTGTTCAGATGTTTTATAGCTCATAAATAACTTAAAAAACATAAATTCTTTCCATGTGCTGGCTTGCTTTTCCATAGATCTGACCATTAACCTGTCTCCAATGTGATTGCCAAGTTTATTTCCATACTGTGAAATAATCAAGGCATAAGAGTAATATCTCACTGGAGACAAGCAAGTGCCAGACCCTCCACCACAAAAGTTATACAGTGCACCTTAAAGCATAGCCCAATCAAATAATTTGCCTTATGCTATTGTGTGAAGCAATGAATTGAACCAACATAATGTATTATTTACACGATGTGAGCACTTTTAAAAAATGCTTTTAAGAATGTTTATGCCTCTGCCTGTACACAAACACAACCTTACCCACCTCAGTGTTTTTATCTGTCAGCTCTCTGTCTGCACTGTAGAGAAGCCGAGAGTGAGGTTGCAGCATCGCTCACCTTTAAAGTAACTGCTCAAAGTCTGTTTTCATCTTCTCTCTTAAAAAGTTCTTGCATGATCTAGGATTATGCTCATCTTTGGTGCGCCCAGTGTCTTTTGAGATCTATTCCTGAAAAAATATTTAATAAATGAAGTAGACTTTGATGCTGGATAAAGTTGGCTGAGTCATATACTGCAAAGTATTACAGTATTCTGACTTTGTCCCACCTTTCCTTTCTTTTTATTTTAAAGGCTGCATAGAACATTAGCAATATATCTCTATTCCATACATTTTTTATGAAACAGCATATGTTAGTGTTTAAAGCCGATTGAGCATACATTTATATAGGCACTCACAGTTGTTAAAGAGCTCCCTACACCATGCAAAATTCAGTTAAGAACAGAGAAGATATTTTTTATTTATTCACCTTTACTTAACCAGGAAAGTCACACTGAGATTTGGAATTTTGTTTTTAGGGGAGGTCTGGCCCCCCCAGAAGCCTACATGTTTTTAGTGGTAGAAACCAGAGCACTCAGAGAAAAGCTACAAAGGCAGAACATGCAAACTCCACAGAGATAGGCCTTGTACCGCCCTGGAGGTGAACCCAGGATCTTCTTGCTGTGAGGAAAGAACACTAACCACTGTGCCGCCTGTACAGCCCATGACAAAAAATATTTGTTTTGATTGGAGCAGGGGGTGGTCTTCAGCTCTGGAGAACAGTAGCTCTTTGACAAGTTGCCAGGATGTGTCTACCACTGTTTCTGTAGTTTTCTCAAACTACAGCAAAAAAGCATGTTTGGAAAAAGCCTCAATGCTTGAAATGTGCTGAGCAACTGTGCTGCTCAAAGCCAAGTCAAAATAACCCTCTTTGCAGATGATTTGTGAATAAACATCTCCCTGCTCCTGGTTTTGACAGATACCAACTGTGTGCTTTGTTAAACTGTGCGCAGTGCAGTGTCTGTTCTTGTGCTGATGAAAAGTTTCCATTATTAACTTTAGAAATGTCATTTCTATAGATCCTGGATTGTGTTTTACATGCATGGTAGCAAAGTGGGCATGCCTCCTGTCATTTTCTGAAAATGCATTTATGTGTGTTCACATCTGGTTTGAACCCTGCTGTGGACCTGGTTTAGACCTGTTCCAGACCAGGTTTAGTCCAAATTGTGATGTGTGTGCAAGTGTGGACATGTGTTGTGTTAGATAGGGCTGGCTCTTACACAAATGTTGTTCAGATCTAGTCACCTATAACCTTAAAATGAAGTCATCAGATAAAATGTATAGACAGGGTTGTTGTAGATTCATAATGAAATGTAGTAACATGGTGTACTTCTGGAGTTAGGTGCTGTACATGTTATGCCTGTCAAAGCAACAGTAATTACGGCTATACCTGTGTGTAGCTCTTTTTGTCATTTTCCTCGAATAAAACAAGAATTTAGAATCAAGTGAAAATCTACCTCTATGGCTGGAGAAATGCCATTGTTGCATTGAGTAGAGGTCTTTGAAGTCCTCTATTGTGTGAGTCTTTGAGAAGAGAAACATTTTGTGCATATGCTTAAAACTCTGTATGCAATTAAACTACACACAACATGCATTTTACTAAACACAATTGTACTGCAGTGAATTCTTTTCAGTCCTGTCTGAACATAAATTATATAGTTTGTGGCCTCTTTCTCATCGTGGAGAGGTCTTGAGGAATTTCTAATAGAACAGTATCCATTATCAGTCACTATTGCTGTGTGCTCTCAATGAATATAGCCAACACACACAAGTTACAATTGTCTAATAAATAAGTGCCTAGTAAGTTGTCAATGCCGTCTTTGCACTTCAAATGAATCACATAGAAAGGCCAAGGCTATACTGTATGTTTTTTCAGATTGTATTTTTTATCTTGTCTTCTTAATTTCAGCAACATATTTAAGTTAGAAATGCGTTTCCCATTCCATCTATGTTAACTCAAGCGAATGTTGCCTGTAGCTTTACCTACTTCTTTTTTCTCACTTTGTCCTTCAGCTGCTTTCACTCGTCCTCTGAGTTTATATCCCTGTAGCTTCAAAATCTAGGTTGGACTCAATTTCACAGAGGGAACAAGACGAGAGGGAAAAGGGTGGATTTGCTGAACCATGCCACCATCCAAATTGTCTTTTAAAGCAGATCAGCCGGTGTAAACATTTCGGAGA